ATGAACATTTTTTTTTTTTACGTGTAGACACTTTAGTGGTTGTCAGTTCTTTAAAAGGCTATTTTCTTGAGTAGTTGTTATTTATTAAGCTTACCACAAATCAATCTTCTGTTTCTCATTTAATGAGAATGAGTTATTATCCCCATTTTATGGATGAGGAACATGAGACCCAGAGGTGCCCAGGCCACCCAACCAGGAAGTGGCAGAGCTTTTGCAGGTGTGTATTTCCTCCCATTCATTAAGTCGGAAACATTTCCAGTCTCCAATTAAGATCTATTTCTGTCTAGCAAATGAGCCTAGTGCTTAGGGGTGCCAAGAGGAGAAAAACAAACAAACAAAAAAACCCTGAAACCACTCACAAATCCCCACTCTTCTGATCTCCAGAGTCTCCCTCATTCTTTGTCCAGAAACTTCTTCTCCTACAATATCCTCTCTCAGCATGATCCAGTTTCCATAACCCCTTGCCTTATATGAGACATATTCCAGTGTGATCTCTAGACAAGTGATCTCATCTGAGACGTTACTGGAAACCCCAGGACCATTTCTGGGAAACTTCCAGCTGGGACTAATCTCATCTGCTGTGCATGGGTCATTGTCAGCTCCAATTACCCACAAAAGCCCGAGAGTGATGGAAATGCCTGTCTACTCAGGAATAGGATGGGCGTGTTACCGGCTCTCTGAGATTATCTGCCCCGATTCTGCCTGAATTGGCCACAACCAGCCCTGACCTCAGTGCGTGTTACATAAGAATCCTAAATGACATTTGATCTTCAACGACATTTGATCTTCACCCTCCCCTTTCTTCCATTCCAGGAGGTCACAGGGCAACACCTGAGTTGCAAGGGAGAGTGGCAGAAACGAGGTGTTCCTATGTTCCTACCCTTTTGTCTCCACCAAACCAGCTTCCATCACCTCAGATTTTCATGTGTGAACTAGATCTATAAACTCTTCTGGTTTGATTTGCTTTAGAAATCTCAGACTGATTGTTCAGAAATGAAATTCCTTGATCTAAAGGTGGGGAATGGAGTCAGGTGTAGGTTTTGAGACAAAGACTAAATGGGAATGAAGGCTCCATCCCTGAGAGAGGAAGTTAAAAACACTTCCTAGGGAGGCTCTTCCTTACAGTGGAATGCCAACTCATAAACAGAGAAGGGGTGGCGGGGTCAGAGAATTATCAACAGATACCAAAGCCAGTAGAAAATTTGACTGAACAGGCCGGGCGCGGTGGCTCAAGCCTGTAATCCCAGCACTTTGGGAGGCCGAGGCGGGTGGATCACGAGGTCAAGAGATCGAGACCATCCTGGTCAGCACGGTGAAACCCCATCTCTACTAAAAATGCAAAAAATTAGCTGGGCATGGTGGCGCGTGCCTGTAATCCCAGCTACTCAGGAGGCTGAGGCAGGAGAATTGCCTGAACCCAGGAGGCAGAGGTTGCGGTGGGCCGAGATCACGCCATTGCACTCCAGCCTGGGTAACAAGAGCGAAACTCCGTCCGAAAAAAAAAAGAAAATTTGACTGAACAATAGGACATTTGCTTAGTCTCAAGGTATCTCCCTACAAGATGCTTTTTAATTACAAAGAAAAAAAATAGTAACTTTGCAATGTTGAAACATGGCAGATACCACCTTAACCAAGCGATCAAAGTTAACTACGCCAGCGACGGGACAAACTGACATCTTGTAGCCGATGATATGACGCACCAAGGACACAACATCGCATCAACGGCAATTCTGCCAATTTAGACAAACGCCAACAGTGGGGTGTCCTACAACATAACTGAGCTGCAGTCTTTAAAAATGTCACAGTCAAATAAAAAAGAAAAGCTGAGATTAATGGTTCCAAGTTAAAGAAGACTAAGGAAATACTAGTAAATGCAATGTATGATCACACCAAAAAAAAGAAAAAAAGGAAGACTGGGCAAGGTGGCTCAGGCCTGTAATCCCAGCACTGTAGGAGGCCAAGGCAGGTGGATCACAAGATCAAGAGATCAAGACCAGCCTGGTCAATATGGTGAAACCCCATCTCTACTAAAAATACAAAAATTAGCTGGGTGTGGTGGCACGCACCTGTAGTCCCAGCTGCTTGGGAGGCTGAGGCAGGACAATTGCTTGAACCTGGGAGGCGGAGGTTGCAGTAAGCTGAGATCGCACCACTACACTGCAGCCTGGAGACAGAGTGAGACTCTGTCTCCAAAAAAAA